GAAAACGAGGTACTGGTGATGATGTAGTGAATGACATCGATCGGAAATAAATAATAACGGCTAGGAAGTAGGAACTTTTCCTCCAGGTTTTAATTGGCATTACCATTTCCGGTGAACTTGGAATTGGAATTGTTACAATTTTGTAATGGTCAGCCATGACCACATCATGGCGTTTTGTCTCTTCTGGCTGTTGTTAGGGGCATGATCAGGGGACTCTGGATCTCTTCTGGCTTTAGAAAAAAGGCAGTCCATAGGCTTTGTATTCATTCTCACTTCAAATCAGTGTAGTACAGGGAACAAGGTGAACTGAGAATGAAAGTTAGTGAAAAAATACAATCTCTGCAATTGACTATCACTAATCTCCACAGTGGTGTAGAATCAACCCCCAACACAGAAGGTCCATAATAGATAGAGCATCATCTTAAAAAAGAATTGGGATCTGCTCCTCATAGTGTGCGCCTCACATTGATCTCACAGCCACACCCTATCCTATATTGGGAATATCTCCCATGAAACTATATCTATATCTATACTGTTTATAAAAGTGTGATTGAGGTATTGCTTTTTCCTGGAATTTTTTACTAAAATACCCCTCCTCTTGAATTTAGTTCATCTTCATTGAGAGAGCAGAAAATGAAATTAAAATAATACTATTAAGTAGATTCAATTACCTCTCATTATATCTCACATTTAAGTCATTAAATAAATCTCATTTTCTCTCACATTGAATGCAACGTTTTTACTTTTGCTTCTCATCATTAAATTCCACTAATAAATTCATACACAATAATTATTAATTGAATGAAATTTTATATTTTAAAATAAACCTACAAATGAAACTATATTTTCCATCTAGGTGGTGGGTAAGTAGTTCAACCATTTGGGTCAAATGGATAATTCCATGATGTTATAAATAAATAATATAAATTTAGACATATAAAAATATAAAAAAAAATATTAAAAAATAAAGAAATTTTGAAAAAAATGGACACATTTCTATTATTATATACTTGTCATATTAAAAGTAATAAGTATGACAAAATAGACATAAATTTATTAATTATGGACTTGAAATATACAACTTAAAACCGATGGGTAATGAAATTATTTTCTTATCTAGAGGGTGGGTTAACGGTTCAACCTTTTAGGTCAAACGGGTTAACCCATGATGTATAATTAAAAAATAAAAAAATTAATATAGAATAGTACAATAAACAAAAATAGGTGTGAAATTATAATTATCTTATTAATGATATAAATGAAATGTAAAATTTTAGAACAATCTGAAAATGAAACCATTTACATATCTAGATGGTAGTTCAACGATCTAACCTTCTGGGTTAAATGGGTCAATATGATGACATAACTAAGTAAAAAATATTAAAAATATATATAGAAACTCAAAGAAAAATATAAGCTTTGTATAAAGAATTTTGATACATTTCTAATGTTATATATTCATCATTTTAAACAAAAATAAATGTGAAAATAAGAATTATTTTTATTAATGATGAAAATTGAATGCATGATTTAAAATTAACCACAAAAGCAAAATGGTTTTTCCATCCAAGTGGTGGGTTAGTGGTTCAATTGTCCATATCAAATGGATCAACACATGATGTTATAATTAAACAATAAAATACTTAAACTTCTAGAAAATGTAGAAATTTGTAGATAAATGTAGGCACATTCTATAATATTATATACTCATCATACAAAAAAAAAAGTGTGATAAATAAGAATTATTTTCATTAATGATAGAAATGGGATAAAATTTAAGAGGAAAAAAAAAGGCATTATTGTACAAAGGACCCCACTAACCATGTCAAATGGTTCAATGATTTAATTAGTTAAGTCACTGTAGCAAGTGGTTTAGTGGATTTGTCATTCTAATCAATTGATTTGACTACAATATTAAAAACCAATATCCAAACAATATATTGGAATTGCATTTCCACCTAATAAATAAGTAACTTTTATTAAGTCATATATTAAATAATAAAAAATAAAAATATAGAATGTTTTATACATTTTAAAAAAATTTGAACATGCATTAATATTATGCATTTTTCATATTAAACAAAAGTATGTTTTAAAAAAATGAGAATTAAATTTAGTCTCTCTCTAATGTGAGGGCACAAACTGTAATTTGAACCACTACATTTTCCCCATTCAATTCCTTATCATTAAGTCTTATATTTAGGGTATTAACTTCAACTCTCTCATTGAATTCTATATCTAAGCTATTATTTTCACCAATAAATTATATCAATTAGATTTATCTCCAATACTTTTAAATATTTAAAATACATGTTTTTTTTTAAATTAACCCAAAAATTGAACTATTCTCCATGTTGGTGGAAAGTAAGCAAATCAACCTTTCAGGTCAAATGGATTAATCCATGATGTCATAATTAAATAAAAACTTTTAAAATAAAAATAAATATAAAATATAAAAATATTGGGCATACCTCTAATGTTTTATATTAATCATATAAAAGAAAAATAAGTGTATAAATAATAACTACTCTTATTAATGTTGGAATGAAATATAAATTTAAAACCAATCCAAAAAAATTATTTTCGTGGTAGAGGGTCATCAATTCAACCTTTTGAGTCAAATGTGTCAACCCTTGATATCATAATCAGGTAAAATATTAAAATAGATAAAAAATACAAAAAAAAAACATTATGTAATAATAATACAGAAATTTTGTAAAGAAATTATTTAGGTACTTATCTAATATTGTATATGAATCATATTAAAGAAAAACAAGTGTGATAAATAATAATTGTTTTTATTGATGTTGTAAATAAAATATAAAATTTAAAACTGACCCAAAAATGAAATCGTTTTCCTTGTGTCAAGTCAATGGTTCAACCTTTCGGATTATATGTATTAACCCTTGATCTCCTAATTAAATAAAAAAAATTAAAGATAGATAAATATATAAAACTCTATAGAAAACATTTGTACACATCTCAAATATTTTTTACTAATCACATTAAAAATCAAACACAATAAACAAGATTTTTTTAACTTTTTATTGATAATGAAAATTAAATACAAAATTTAAAACTAACCCAGAAGTGAAATTGTTTTCCTGTTTGGCGTAGTAGATCAATAATTCAACCTAAGTCAAATGTGTTAACCCATAAAGTCATAATTAAAAAGATAAAAAATAATATATATTATGCATAAAACATTTGTGCACTCTAATATTTTATATTAATTAACCACATTAACAAAAAAATTAAGTGTCACAAAGAATAATTATTTTCATTAATGATAAAAATAAAATACAAATTTAAACCAACCAAAAAATGGAATTGTTTTCTTATTTGGTGGTGAGTCAACAATTCAACATTTTGGGTCAAATGTGTCAATCCTTAATTCATGATTAAATAATAATAAAAACTAAAAAAAGATGAAAATACACAAAGGTATAAAAATACAAAAAAAATTAAAAACTTTTGAAAATGTTTATAATATTGTATATTCATCATATTAAACAAAAATCAATGTGACAAAATAAGAATAATTTTTGTAGATATAGAAATATAAAAAATATAGAAAAAAATTACTATCACCATCATCATAAAAAAATGCCACGTGCAAAACACATGCATACTCACTAGTAATAAATAGAAGTATGGGAGATGTTCCCAATGTGTGGCCAAGACATACAAGGTCATCGTGAGGTGCACTCTGAGAAACAGATCCAGACTCCTTAAAAAATAGCATGTGAAAATCGAAAGGACAGCAAGGTCTATTCCTTTAGCTCGAGCAACCATGTAGTCACCCTTATGGTCATGTACAACTGAGGATTCATTTGGTTTGCAGTTGGAATCAGAACCAGTATCAAAATTCTTCAGAATCAGAATCAGAATCGGAATGGTTTATTCTCATAGTCTATTTAGTTCAAACAGGAATGAGAATGAAAATTAAAATAAGCAGGGATGGGATTTCATTCCCAATGGAAGGGCAAAGTATGGCCATTCCCTCAAATGAGGGAATGCCATTCCAGAAGGAATGGGAATGGAATTCTGATTCCGCCCAACCAAACAGTTGGAATCGGAATAACCCATTCCAATTCTAATTTCAGACCCCTATTCCTACAAATCAAATGGAGCCTGAATTCATATAGGCGCCCCACAGCACATCCCAACCATGTATTAGGAACACCTTATGGCAACTGATAAGAACCGGGAAATGTTCCCAATGGACATGAAATGTGCATGTGGATGTGTGGGGCACAACGCTCTATGGGACACCAATTTGAACTCCATACAACTAACCCAAGTGAAACAGAGTGGAGCCCAACTGCAGCATCGGCATTGACCTTGAGATATCCTAGCGATGGTTTCTAACTGCATGTGGAAGAGATTTGTTTTAGAGGTGCAACACTATTCATAGAATAACCAGGTTAATACATTATTCAACTGGACATAGAAATGCATAATGGCATTGCATTGATTCAAAGGCCTCTAATTTAAAAATGCCAGCATCTCTTGCAAGTCAAGTTTGGCAGTGTTTTCAAAACCAGATCGGATTAGACAATCGGACTAAAAAAACCGGGAACCAATGATCAGATCCATTTCATTCTAAAACCATCTTTTGGCCAAAAAAACCGTTGATTTGGTTAACAAACTATCAACCCAGACATCAATTTTTGGCTGTTTGTTTTATTAATTTTTAATTCTTTTTTTTATCAAAGCAGGTCATCCATTCAGACAGGATGGTCATACATTACAGTCCAAAATCCCTAATGTATAACCAAGTCTAATCGGGTGAGACCCAATTATTAATCGGGACAGCTTTAGATCTATGATTGATTAATAATGAGGACGGAATTGGCTGTCCCAAGATGAAAACAGATACGAAATGGTCAATACTTCAAAGTTCAATCTGATATGTCAAGTTCTAGTGAGAATTTGTTCATGCTCAGGCAATGCACAATTGAACATTGAACATTAGACAAATGCAGAAAACTCAGGTATTAGGTGCAGAAGTACAAGAAAATCGCATGACGGCACATATCAATCACGTTTACACCTGGTTAGTGAGAAAGGATAGGAATCAAAGAATGTAGCAAAAAACTTTGCACGTGAAGATATCAGATCATCATTATCATCAACCAAGCCTTCTCCCAACTATATGGGGTCGGCTACATTGAATCCTATCCCAACAGTTCGTTCTGTTTAATGCCACATGAAGATGTGAGATACTTCTCCAATCAACTGTAAACACGTACATGGACAAACACAAGTAGAAATGTGGCCATGGTGTTGATTAGATCAATTGACCAAACAATTCTCCACATAAGGAATATTTATTTGCAGATCATCCAGGCTTGGGCAATCACGGATACTCAACCCATGCTCATTAGCTAAATGCAGAAGGCATATGAAACACAAATGAGGAGAGATATCCCCAGGAGCTGCTGCTTGACAGTCATCAGGAAAGCTGGCCAACAATTGCTTGAAAGATACTGTAGTCTCTTTCCCCTTTGGATTAGAAGTATCAGGTGTTAAAAAACTTATCGTGATAATAGGAATATCCGAATATCAATCAGCATAATTACAGTGTATGCCCCAACCAGGAAGAAGTAAAATAAAATAAATAGAGCAGAATAAAGTACTAAGCATATTTTTTTCAGGTCATACAGCACAGTATGGTCTTAAATGAATTCAAAGAGAAAAGGATCATGATGTATATGAATGTAAACAAGACGATGAATCATAAATGAAACTCTAAAGATTCAGAGACCAAGGGATATGAATTGACAAATGAGATAACAGTAAATCCCATTCATCCAAATTGGCAGTCCTTAATTTTACACTCATTGTATTAAACAAGAGAATTCAAGGCTGCTGTTCATCTAATAACTGGATAAACTTATCCATCTCTAAAAATTACACTTATAATGCCTGCTATTAAGGATAGAACTGCCACAAAACTTCAGTAACTTGCCTTCCTATAGAGGGAGGGTGACTGCACACCAGCCTGGCCCATCAGCAGAGGATTGGAGCACTTCCAAGCCTTCCAACATATAGGGTCATCCATGTGGAACCCCAAAAAATACTCTTTAAATGCAAAGATTGTATTAGTAATTCCCACACACCATATTGACCAAGTACCCAACCTCAGCAACATTCCATTGACGGAGCATGCAACAGGCATGCCCCAGGACCTCCCAATTAAGGCAGACCAAATACATGAATAAACAAATAAAATTGCCTTGTCTTCAAGCAATGAAGAAGGTGAATAGCCAACTCCCCTTAACCAGGGGTAATGGCCACTTTGTGCAAAAAATGCCTAAGGTTAGGATCATATCCAGTCTACCCCTCCCAAGACCCCAGATAAGATAGCTGGTAGCAGCATTAGCTTTTTGCATGTTGGGCAATCAAGAAACATTTCAAAAAAAAAAAAAAGTGGCAGAAACGCAATTGTTAAGATAGATGAGCCAGAAAAGTAGAAAGGATTAAACAGAAATTAACTTGTTTGAAAGAACCTATGAGTGGCTCCAATAGGTGAGGGAAAATAGACTACGATGGTTCAGGTATGTGCAAAGAAGACTCTCTACAATACAAGTAAGACTAAGAGATATATTACAAGTTGAAGGGGCTAAGAAGAGCTAGGGGCAGGTCTAAAAGAACATGGATTGAATTAGTGAGAAATGATGCAAGAGCCCACCAAGGTTCATATTGTGCGATTCAAAGGGGTGATACTCATGGTTAGATTTAGTTTCAGGTTTCAAGATTTGAACCAGAGATGCTTAGGAAGGGTGCTAATTATTGAAAATTGGTTTTCCTCCTAACTCTTAATATTTAGCATATCACAGTATCGGTGGTTTTTAAAACCGATACATATCGGTCGATATGCACCGATACATTGCAATTTTTTAAAACTTGGCACCTACAAATTAACAATGGATATTTTATAATATATATATATATAACCTATACTCTATAAAACAAATACTTGCCTTGGTTTGGTGCAGGTCATAAAAGTAAAATTGATTATTTAATATTAACTCATATCTTTATTCTTTAGGCTGCGTTTGGAAACAATGCATATGGAGTGTAAATCCCGGTTCAGGGTAAATTTGCTCTCTGGTTCACTTTTTCCGGTGTTTGGCAACATTACATTTATGCATCGACAAATGACAAACCAATGCATATTTACATTGATAATAAGATGTAAAAGTACATCAATAAAAAGAAGTAAATTTGCATTCAAGTGGGATTTTGATAAAAAAAAAGCATATGCTTTATTTGCATCCATTACAACTAAAAGTTTGTTTGGTAAGAAGGTAACTTTGTCAATGCAAAACTAACCCAACTTTGCAATTTATATGAACCGTTTTACACTCTACATATTTGCATCGTTTCCAAACGCAGCCTTACTTGTAGACATGCATAGTAGTGTTTTCAACCCACCATTGACCTGAACAGTCAATCCATTCGAACCATCACCCAGCCATGATTCCAGATCCAATTCTCTTAAAACCCAATGATTGGTCAAAAACCATCTGGCCTAGGCGGTTGAATTGTTGGCCCATTCAACCCAGTCACAATCATGATTGTGGTGATCCTTTTTATTTTGGGTAGCTTTTCAAGATCTATGCTTCCTAAGGCACATTTTGGTGCCTTGCCCTGTTGTTTTCGCCAAAAAAACCTTTATGGTCCCAAATCCCAATTGTTAACATTTCTTACAAATAAAAAAATAAAAAATTGAAATAAAAAATATAATTTGCTGATATGCCATGGTTTGACCCATTTGGTCATTCAACCTGAACGGTCAAACCGGTGATCCACAAAGCACAGGCAAAAATAGTTTAGCCTCCAAGTCGGTTTTCAAAACATTGGTGCATAGCACGTGCCTTTACAGGCAAAAATAGTTTAGCCTCCAAGTTCTTTCTTTATAGAAGACCGAAGCTGTTTATCTTTCCACATAAAGCCTACCATAGTTAAAAAGGGAACTCTGAAAAGCCAAGTTCACTTACTCAAGAGGTGCATTAGGGGTAGAAGGTAACCAAAAAACCTTAGAAGGTATGGGGGACTAAATGGGCCTGGGATGTCTAAGGCAACATAAAAAAAACTAGGTCTCAATTTGCTTGCAGTGCAAATGAATGCATTGGTGTAAATGTATGGGAGTGCAGCTGTGCAGATAAGCGGAGTGTGAATTCTGGTTTACCTTTGCCTCAGATCTGATTGTCTTATTTGTTTGTGAGAAGTAAAATAATGTCTCCACCTTATATGAAAGAGAATGGAGATAGGAGGGTTATTTGTTTGAAAGTGACGTAAGAAGCAAGGTGATGTGGGACCCACTTTATATGAGAGAATTGATGCAGGAGGGAAGGGCAAATTTTACATTAGTTTTTGGGAAGCAAAGTTTGCACTGCCAGTGAGTGCAAAGGAGACGAGGTAGAAATTTTGTGTCAAGTATGAGTGCAAACCATAGCTAACAAAGAAATAGATGCAAAACCTGAACCGAGCGCAAGATTTGTATCTGGTTCAGATTTGAACCACAAACAAACACAGTCTAAGGAAATCCAAGACAGGCCATGTTCTCCACTCATAAGAAAAGAGGACGCCACAAGCCTCCTCATTACAAGAGAGATGGTAAATCTTAAAGGTAGTATTCAGTCAGAGACCCATCACCCCACCAGAGGTCAGACCACAATTTAATATGATCAACATCACCTTAACTTATATCTTATTAAGGGAAAGAAATAGATGACCCTCTCCAAGAATGTGCTGTAACTTTAAATCTAAGAAGTTAATTGCAAACAAAAGGTGGAACACAGTGTTTTAGTATGTTAGAACCCAAAACAACAATGGCTTCAAAACACAAGTCATGATTGTTATGTAGTTTATTCAGACTGTCTATCATATAGGATACTTATCCACACCCAACTTGGACTCTATACCACCAACAGAAAATTTGAAGTTTCAAAATTTTAACAAAGAAAAGGAAAAGGAAATCCAGACATGAAAACCTCTGCTTCCCACATGAGAAGGGTTAATGTGGCAAAAATGTTTCGTGGGCCAACATCCAGCCTTCGAACTTGTCTAACAAACCCATTACTGAAGCTGATGTTTGCTTTCTTATGCTGGACTGGTTATTTGTTCACCAAACTATGAAAATGTGGACGGAGCATCTTTCTAATTCTGATATTTAGTTATGTTGGATCTATTTCCTGATGATGTTTGAGAAGCTTTCAATATTCATTGTAATCAAAACTAATAGAAGGTTGTGTGTGTATGTGTGTGTGTTTCCAAGGTGATGCCTCATCACCCCTTCTTGTGCTTCCTCATTTTCCGGTGATATTTTCATTTTTACAATAAAAAATGCTCCAAGACAACAAGGAAGATGTGGATAAGATATGGCTTTACTGAAAAAGGACCAATACACATTTTTCAGCGAGTATAGGAAAATTAGATTTTAAAAAAGAAAAATACCAAATCAAGGTAACTTAGAAAACACTAAAGGCCTATTAGGTATCCTGGGTGAATGCGCTAAGGCTATATTTAGTTTGAGGGAAGATTTTTGTGGAATGGAAAAGGAGGGATGGGATGGGATGAGAAAAGGAAAATGGGTTGAAATTTTTCACATTCCATTGCTTGGTTGCAAAAGAGAAAATAGTGAGAAAATTAGCCCCAATAACAATTATTAATTCATTAATCAAGTAATTAATAATAGATTATATTTTACACTTATTATTTTATTATTATTAATTACTTAACTATTTAATTTTTTTGTTAAATATTAAATAGTTATTAACTAATTAATAATATTTTTATTATCAATACTTTATTTTACTATACTTATTAAGTAATTAATAAATTTAATAGTTTACTATTAATTAATAAATGTTTTCATTAATTATTTATTAATGAATCTAGTTAAATTGTTTTATTAAATTTTGATTAAATAATGAATAATTTATTAATGGATCATGGGTCTAATATTAACTCTTCAGAAATTCTATAAGGAAGGTGCTTTTTCATGTTAAATAAGTCTCCCCCCACCTTTCCCACTTGTTTACTTGTTTCTCATTAAAATGCTGAGATGTGAGATCCCACTTCCCAAGAATTGAGAACTATGATCCCCACCTTTTTCCCATCCCATCCATGACATCCCAAACCAAACATAGGAAGGGAAGAATATTCAAAAATATTCCTATTTTCCCTTCCCATCCCACAAAACAAACAGAGCCTAAGAGATTAGAAAGTTCAACAAGGGCATGGATTCAGATGGCAGGAAAGGATATAGAGGCATGCTTTAAAATATATAGCCCTTGGTGGAATAAAATTGCAAAACTAAATTGATGTAGATGTTCCAACTTCCAAGTACATGGGAAAAGGTTCTATAGATGAGGATGATGATTAACAATAAGAAGAAAAGGCTATAGAAATCAGAATTAGGTCCATCAATTGAATCTAGAATATAAATAATATTATTCAGATTATTTTAAGGAGTTAAAAAAAAAAAACATGAGCATAGCCATCACTAGCGAAAGTAGGAAGACAAATTCAACTTAAATAAAAAAAGAAAACAAACATTTCAGATCAGTCTCACAAATGTTCTTAATGGTTCGGTTCCGTTGGTACATTTACTTCACTCATTTGATTCTCTCAGTATTCCTTTTTTATGAATTCAATTCTCAGATATACTAATAATTCCAATAAAATGATATTTCACCCATTAAACATTTCATCAGGAATTCAGGATTAATAATAATGTAAGCAACACCCAGGTCAAACAAGAGTAAAACAGAATGGCTTACCTTTTCAGGCATATTGGTAGAATCCTGTATATGATCCCAAAGTGTTTCTTTTAACACATGAACATCAACTTGTTTAGAGGTTTTGTCATACTGAACCTCAATTTTGTTTACCTGGATTTATCAAGACAGGAACAAGCATTAGTCCCAAAAAGAAAAGAAATTTTGTTTTGGATAATAAGATAAAAATGAATTTATCGTCCTCCTGTATAGAGTCAAAGATCAAGGTGAAAAGATAAGACAAGTGATATGAAAAAAAAAAGATAATGTATATATTATATTATTATTATTATTATTAATACTGTGGAAAATTGTGCAAAAGAACTATTAACAGGATAGAATATGTTTCTAGCAGACAAGCACCCCTTGTAGACCATATAGCAATGTTGTCAGACTTATACCAGACAGAAAACAGATGCTCACTTGTCATTTAAACAGGATTCAGAAAGGTCACTGGGTCATTGGTTCAACCATCTACTCTGGTCTGAATCTGGCAACCCTGGCTTTTAGCTATAAAAATATTATTTTTGTTCTTTTTTCTCTCAACATATATTTTGGTGCATGGTATTCCTTAGGTAGTTTCTAAACCAACTGATGCAGGTTGAGAAATGACAAGAGTTTACTTTAGGTTTTGTGGGAGATACAAAGGAAGGAGGCCTGCAGCAATACTTTCGTTTCTCAGTTTGTTATCTGTTGGTTATGGTATTTGAATACTCAGGAAGAGTATGGTGAAGTATTAGTTACTTCGGAAGAGTAAATGTAGCATAGTCCTTGACAAGGACCAGCACTGTAGACCTAGTTTTCCCTTCCCTTAAAATCCATTGAATTGAACACTGATGGATGTAGCATCTGAACTCTGAAGTTTAGGTAGTGAGGCATTGGTGGAGCTTCCAGGAACCATCAAGGAGAAAACTTGATAGTTTGCTCAGGTTAGATAGGAATTTGACACACCATCAGGTCTGAACTCCTCTCCAAGGGTTTTAATTCGAGATTCTCTGAACTGTAACAATCTAGAAGCCAAATGAGATCAGAGGTACTTGTCGGTTGGATTAGGAATGATACCACACCTGAAGGCTATGGAAGTTACCACATTACATCTAGGAAGCTAGATCTTTGGCCAAAATCCCCATGATACAGAGTGTCTTTGATGCAGTAGGGCTGGAACAAACTAACACAAGACAGAAAGAGAGAGGAAGAGAGAGTAGAAAGGGTAGAGAAAGAGAAAAGAGAGAAATCCCAAGGAATCACTCCAAGGGGTCCTAGAATCACTCTAGGGTTTGTAGGAATCACTCCATACAGCAAGAGAGCTCTTAAGAAATCTTCATTCATTCATTCCTCAAAAGAGAATACATCTATTTATAGAGTGACTTATGTGGCCCGGAACACTGTTCACCATAATTACAAAAAGTGCCACTCTTTGTCTTGTGCATCAAGAAACACAATAACTTTCTATCTACTAATGCAAATAAACTGAAATTTGAAAGATAAGCCCCACTAAACTAGATGAACAAGGTTTTTTTTTTCGAAAAAGGTAAAGTAATTTATTCAGAGAGAATGAAGATTACAACAAGGCCCAGACCACTAGGTCTACTTGGGCCCAAAACAGATTACAAGTACATCCATGATTTAGTGCAAAATAAGTGAGATACATTCTGATTTTTAAACTCCTCATTCACCGACACCCAGGAACAAATCTTCCCCACCGCTTTCTGCACTACCTCTTCTGGGCTTTTAGATTGATTACAGAAGATTTTGTTGTTTCTTTCAGTCCAAATGGACCAAAGAACAGCATACAAAATGGTATTCCAAATAAGATTACCTTTCTTGCTAAGACCCTCCAATCTCCAACTCATTAGCAGCTCCTTCACAGACTTATAGACCAATAAACCTCCAATTTCTTGAAAAAATGTCCCCAAATTGAAGAGGAAACCGGACAGTGTATACACAAATGCTCTGTAGATTCTGCAAAATTTCCACATAAAACACAGGAGGGATCAAGAATCTGAACACCCCTTCTCTCCAGATTAATCCTAGTTAAACATTTATCCAGAGCCATTGTCCAAACCAGGAAGTTAACCTTGGAGGGGCAGGTAGGATTCCAAATCTGCCTAGCAGGGAAGTTTTTTTTATTTTTAATAGTTATAGTTTTTTCCTAGCAGGGAAGTTATCCTGACCTGAACTGCACATCTTAAGAAAAAGGGATTTAACTGAGAAGCTACCATCTTCATTCCACTTCCAAGACCATTCATCTTCCACACACAAATCAATTCTCTGATTTTAAATCAGCCCCAACAGATCCACATACTCATCCACTTCCCAATCCAACAAGTTCTGCTTGCAGAGAGGAGTCCAAGTGAAAGAATCCCCAGAGATGCAAATGTTATCAGCAACTAAAGAATCTTGATTCACTGCAATTTGGAACAGACGAGGAAAGGCTTCAGCTAAGGGACCCTCCACACACCAGGGGTCCTTCCAAAACTTGATTCTATCCCCTTTACCAACTTTAAAACTGATCTCATTCATAAAAAGAGTGTTGTACTTAGAGATGCCTGCCCAAAGAGAGCTACCCCCAAATGGAAGGGGATCAAGAGTTCTCCAATCACCCCATACCACACCATACTTTGCCGCAATAAGACTCCTCCACCATGCTTTCCTCTCATAAGCAAATCTCCATATCCATTTACTGAGAAGAGCATAATTAAATTCTTTCAATTTCCTGATTCCCAGACCACCCACATCCTTAAGAATGCACACTTGCTCCCAATTGACAATGTGAATTTTCTTCTCATCTTCCCAACCCCTCCATAAGAAGTTCCTTTGGAGCTGTTCCAACCTCTTTGCTATTTTGTTTGGGATTGGAAAGAGAGAGAAAATATGTTGGGAGGTTGGAAAGGGTACTCTTAATCAATGTAACCCTACCACCAAAAGATAAATATTTTGCCTTCCAAGAGGCCAACTTCTTCTCCATTCTCTCAATGATTGGGCACCAAATTGAGGAAGAAAATTTGACCCCAAGAGGCAGCCCCAAATACTTTACCAGGAGGAACTCAATATGACAAGCCATCACTTGTGCACAATCATCCAAATTTGATACTTGGCCCACTGGGATGATCTTACTTTTACTCAGGTTGACTTTGAGACCCAATACCACTTCAAACCAACTCAGAATTCCAAGCACTGTGTCCAATTGATGCAGAGAGGCATCCACAAAACAAAGAGTATCATCTGCAAACTGAAGGATATTAACTTTCTCCTTTCCTGGGGAGATAGCAAATCCATTCCATAAGCCTAGTGTGCCTTCCTAAGGATACAGACAAGACTAGTTAAAATGACAAAAATACCCATGCTGTCCAAATATACAAAGATACAAAAAAATTAAGAAATTTCCAAATTTGATTCTTCAGCTCCTGCATTAGTCTTTTAGTGGGGAACAGGGGATGGTAGCATGTTGGTGCTATCCCCCACTTTCTTATTCCCTTGGTTTTTCCTCTCTAACTTTACAGCCATACCACCCTTTCTTCTTTCCTCTTTATATTTCAATAAAATCTCTTATCAGTTAACAATCAGAAAAAGGAAAATTCTTTATAGGACTAGTTGTGTTGTGCTCAAAGAAATCATAAGTCCTTGTTTCTTAGTGTTTTAAACTTGCAATACAACATCTTTTGAGCATTGCAACCTCCTCATTTCACTCAACAAATAAGAAATTTTTGTAATAGAGAATTAATTTTTGAATAATAAAGCAATATTCAGTTTTTTATCAGACAAAAGATATTTATTTTGAAGCTCCCTTTTGTATGAGGTTAGTAAATGCTATTTCTTTTGTTCTAGTACCAAGTTGGTATATGTACTTTCTTCTCTGTTCTATTTCTCTCTTCTCTATACTCTTATTTCTCTGATTTTCTAAGACAGCAAAATAACCATGTTTTCTATCTATTATAGAGATCTTGTCGCTAAAATTATATTCTTAGTTATATAACTTTTTATTAGTTTTTATAGACATTATTGAGGATTTTGGGTGTTTTGAGGAAGAGTAATAAGGTGGAAAGGGTAGCATTTTCATGAGGATGAGAGTGATTACAGATGACAAGACTTATCCTGAAGAAGGAATTAAGTTGGGTGTTAGATGTAATTTTGGAAGGTGGTTAATATTGGTCTGTTCTTGTTGGGGATTGGCAAGGAGCTTAATTGTTGGCGCGCCAGTTTAAACATAGGGATTTTTCTTTTGTTAGATTTGAAGGGGGAGGTACACCATGTAGGGGAGAAAGGAATGTATTGTTCTTTCCATTTTCTATTTGGTCATGTCTTGTCACCTGGCTTTGTATGATTGTATCTTCACATTCAGGACCCATTTGAGAGGGCTAAAGCATTGGTTGAGCTACTTTGACTGAACTGCTTTGGAGAAGCCACTAAAAGAAGCTTCAGCAGAAAGCCATGTTTTTGGCTTGCCAACAGTCATTTTGAACTCCCCAGGGTTTTCACCAAGCATGGCTTCTAGGCTGTCCGGGTGGGGCCCACCTCACAGAGCCAGAAGCTGCTTCGTGAAAGCCTTCCCAAACAGGCACTCATGGACATAACCCCCAACATATCATTTTCTATTAACCCCTTGCTTTACTAGTGCATCAGCAAGGCTATTGACTATTGACTAATCCATGGATCCATGTCGATAATATCTCCCTTGTTGTGTCCCTGTAATGCAGAGAACCACTTTTGTTGTTTCTGAACCAGCTCACCAATACCTTTGAATCTCCTTGATTATATAATTCTCAGACCAGCAAGATATATTTCTTCCTTCAACCATTTCTTTGTCTTAAACTACCCTATGCTTAAAATAGAACAATAATCTTAGCAAACCCAAGTGGCAGATCCCCTTCACCAAAAGCATAAGCCAAAGGAAACAAAAACGATTAAAAATAAATGCAAGAAAACCTATTAACTGAACATGAGAATTATACAAAGTTAATATATCTGCAAACAAACCTGGCGGGGCTGAGAAACAAGTGAGTTGGAGTCTTCCACATCACTATGAACATTCCCATCATCAAAACTACCATTGAACACACTATCATTTTCCCATTCTTGAGATGGCTCAAAACCATGGCCTTGCTGCCTTGATTCATCTGATGGAGTAAATAATCATGATAATCACAACTTAATATTTATCTTATACATCTTGTGAGGTTGTAGATAAGGAATCACAAAGACAGCCATTGAGAAATGAGAAGAAAATGGGGAAAAAAGACCGTGTTGTAATTGGGGATTTGAAAAGGCATTGGCATTTTAAATTCTACAAAATAAAAAGAAACTAACTTCAGAAAAATGCCCTACCATTTGACCTTGTTATAAATGTCTTAGAAATGCCAAGGATAATCAGTTTTCAGTACGATCTTGGTGCAAAAAATATCAACAAAATAGTATTATCAAAACAAAAATAGAACCATGACATCATAAAACTTGGGTTGGAAATTAACATCCAAAAACACTATTTATCCCCTCATTTATTACATATCAAATTATACTGAAATACTGATTAATGAACTATGATTTTTTCAAGTATACACAAGCAGAATTTTTCATTAATAGATTGGAGGAGATTTATTGAAGTAAAAAACAAGAAAGTACAATCCCTGCCTCATTAAAAAAAAAACAAAGATACGATGAAAAGCCACATACAAAAACAACAAATAGAAAATGAAACCATTTATACATGAAGGGCAGAAGCCCTAATAGAATCCATTTTTCATTAATGAGAAAGACCTTGTATGATAAGAACAAATGGAAAAGAAGGTTGTCAAAAGTTTCAATAAAAAATAAGGTTAAAAAACTACGATTCATATCCTGAATTAGCATAGCAACTCCATGAATGATAATCTAGGAATATTGATCAAAAAAATGATAATCTAGGATTATGTTATTTTATATACTGAAACATTAGATAGATCCAGAGAATTCTAGATTGCAGGTTTTAAATCTTACAATCCTAAGAAAATACTCAAAGGACCACCACTGTGAAAAGCAACATACCAGAGGATTTCCTTCCTCTCCTCCTTGCGAAACACTAAAAGAAAACAGACAGTTTGTCACTGAATGCAACAGCAAAGATATTAAGGGGCCGTTTGATAACAGCTGAAGATACTGAACTGAAAAGCTTATTAATTTGTCTTTTAGTGAATAAGATTTTGAGATGTAGGCTCCTTAGTGACTGAAATTGAAGTGGTAGACCACTATTTTCTTGAAAATTTTATTATTTAATTATTTTAACTAAAAGACAAAACAATAAGTCTTTCAGTTCAGCAACTCCAGCTGTTATCAAATGGCCCCAACAAGTATTTAGAAAAAAGCAAGGGCTTAGGAGCCGCTTTGATGGTAGGTCCTAGAACCTTACTGTTCTTTTGATGATCAAGCTTACCAAAACATTAGGAAGAAGAAACAATTTGACAAGATTCTCCGGCTGATAATGGCAATCTTCTGGAAGTGTGGTATTACAAGGCACTCTATTTGCAGGTAGCAGTAAAGACTTTGGATTTCTTGGAGCTACAAAGATATCTGGCATTTCTTTCTCCAATGATTTTGTGAAATTGATATCAACTTCTACCTGCTTCTTGCTTCTGGTTTTCTTACTTGTTAAGGGAGATCCACCTTCAGAAACAGGAGCATTCTCTGGATCTGTAAAATCAATCCCAAAATATATAAACCATGTATCGTCATACTAAGACTATACATGAACATGATAAAGCAAGTTCTCCCAGTCCCTACCCTTGGCTTTCCTATATTTCCAATGGTCAGGACCAGCCCAAGCATTTTGTATTGAAGTAAATCCTAAGCCTGGAAATAGAAAACCGGCAACCTTTTCAAATCTGTCATCCGAATCAGTCAAGTCAGATTCCTGAACTATGTATGGATCATTCTCCTGCAAAAGCAAACCAAAAGCTTCTGTAAGCAATCCCCTGGATAATTTTTATTTTATTTTAATAAACAACAGATTAACAGAAAATTTGCAAATAAAGTTATAGAACTCAAATGAATGCATGTGTAGCATTAGGTGACTACCACCTGTTGACTTGGAAAAATAGGATCTGTGTAAGTAGAACTCTCATCAATCGCAGTTGATTGATCATCATGATCAAAGCTCCAGGCTGTACAGTTCTCAAATGTATCATCTTCAAACTCATCTTGGTTATCACTAATTACTTCAGCATGCTCAACATTTTTCTGGCCAGTAGAAAACAAATTTGATGGCCTTCTATTGCACTCATCAAACTGATTGATAATATCTCCGAGTGTTGGTGAAATATCATTTTTTGTAGGCATTTTAGTTACCATCTCCTCAATACATTCTGTAATGAAATCAAAAAAAAATTACCAGAACAAGAAAAAAATTTAATTTGCTATTAAAAGATGTGAATAGAAAGATGAATCGTGCTACTAATAAATACAACACACCTCTGGCAAAAGAAAGATCAATAACATCTGATTTATCACATTGAGCTTCACATGACATACACTTCCCAGGTGCTTCCTGTGAATCAAAAATTACTCGACAGCCACCATACACTCCAAGGTTGTTCAGTAAGAGACCCCTTGCTCCGCCTTCATCAAACTGTGCAGATGTTTGATGATATAGAGGATCCACTGAAAATGCAACTGAAAAAGAAAAACAAGAAAAAAATTATAATGCCAATAACTCAATCACTTAATGATAAAAAGCGGTTTAGGAAGTACAATTACCATCAAATTTCTTCACATTAAGACTATCAAAAGATGACTCCAAAGTTGATATAGGTGACACCTGCATATATTTAACGCTGTGAGCTGACCATCCCTATTATCACATTTAAAAGAAGATAAAATTAACAACCTTCCTCTCTAAGTCTTTCTTTGTGCAGCCCTCTTCTTGTCCATTGATGCTGTCACCCTCCACAACAGTTTCTGTCATGATAAACCATAACATAAAAACACTAGCAAACATGAGCAGGATATGAACCGAAATGCAATATGGTCATACGATTTAAGAGATATCTTTCTTCTTATCATTTGATTTAAGGCAAACTCAAGTCAAGAGCTTGCAATTTGGCTAGAAATTTCTTACTTGCAGCACAAAGATGAAAAATGGGCAGTACTAGAAATTTATAGCCAATTTACCTGTTTGAGATAAGTAGTATTTTTTTCATGGGTTTAAACTTCAGGTCCTACTCAACACAGACAAGGGGCCAAGGTAGTAGCTAGTTGTTTTACCTCCCTAGCCCCTAGGAGTAGTTGCATCCAGTAGTAGGTGCATAGGTTACCATTGGTTGGCAGGAATTATGGTTCTTAAAAAATAAAAAATAATTAAAAAACTAAAGACAGTGATACAACCACAGACATCTTTGTATGTTAATAAAGACTAAATTTGTAAAAGCATATGATTCAAATTGAGCAAATCAGTCCTTCAGACTTTGCTGAGAATTTCTGGGATTATTAGAGATTCAAATTTGTAATGTGATTCAGTTTAGTCTGATCTGAATTTTGATGTATGTTTGCTTTGGTTTGCAGGGTGTTATCTAGACACCTTGTGCCTATCTTTTTTAATAAATTCTTTTTATTTACTCTTCAAAAAAATAATAAACATTAATATCATAAATGAAAGCATTGTTTAGTATTTCAAAATACTGAAAGAAGAATAGACTTAGGTGGCATTTGGTAAATCTGAAGTCTGAAATCTGAAAAGCAAAAAAAAAAAAAACCTCTGGAAAAGCTCGGAAAGCACTCAGTGGAAATTTTGCTTTCTGCTTTTGCAGACATCTGAATGTAGTGGAGTTGTTCGGTAATCTGAATGTTATAAGGTCTGAAAGTTTTGCATTTTACAAATTTATCCCTCAAGTTGTTATTTAAATAATAATAAATGAAAATGACTAAAATATTATGATATTATAGAAAATATTATAAAATAATAAAAAGATAAACCATTAAAAATAAAAATAATAAAATAAATAATATTAAAAGATTAATATTATAAAAATAATAAAAACAAAAGATTAAAAAATTAAACAATAAAAATAATAGAAAATTTTAAAAGCAATAAAAAGTATTAATAAAAAGTAAACAATAATGTAAAACAAAGAGCAACCAGCTACACGCACAAACTAATGATTAAAGCCACATTACTCCACACATAAAATACTAAAAAACGATTCAAGCTTATATTATTAAACTGATATGATTAGAATATAACAATTATTGTAATAAAATAATTAAAACACTATAAAATAATTAGAATTACAAAAATTAGGTGGTCTTAGCGATAACTACAAGATCGTGACAAGGTTGCAATGGGGACATATTACTGAGTGTGAACACAAAATGGTAATGTACAGCAGGGGTGAAAGATTGTAATGTGTCTAGATTCAAACCAATCTGGAAAGGAGAGAAAGTTCACAAGACGGTGATGAAGCCAAATTTGGTGATGTGATAATCACTAGTGAAGCAAGTTTGAGCTGGGGTTTCTTCCTCTGCAACACAAGTCACAAGGGTGATGGATTCCTGGTTCGATTCAACAATATTCGTGAGTTCCAGCTGCTGCTAACCATCAGAGGATGATCATTGCCATGATGGATGCTCTTCCCTAGAGCTACAATGATTATTTTTTCAAGGGTCCAGCTGTTGCTAATGACGGTTTGTCCTTGATACCTGTTTTGTTCAGGTCGTCTTTGTTTTCTTGGCTAGATGGTCATTGTCGTGATAGAAGCTTTTCCCTAGAGTTGCAGTGGCTATTGGTCCAATGCTCGCTGGAGGGATAGAAAGATGAGGAAAGAGTGTGGGGAGAGAAGAGGAAGAAAGATAGTAGAGAGAGAGAAAGAGAGAGAGAGAAGAAAGAGGGATGAAAATGTGAACTGGTGGTGGCGATGATTCTGGTTCATTGATTCAGTGAAGACAGTGGAAAGAGAAACAGAAAGGAGAAAGGGAGAGAGGGGTAGAGAGAGAGAGGAGGGAAGAAAAAGATGATTAATAGGGATGAAATGGGTTTTTCAAAAATTATAAATGGGTATTTTGGAGAACAAAATGTCATCCGCTACCTCTGAGCGCATTCAGAGGTAGCAGACCCGCTGAATCATTCTGAGGAATTTTCATAATGTAGAGGATGAGTTCGGAGATGCTATCAAACACCATCTTAGTTGATCAACTAGAGACTGTTTGGTTCTAAATGCCAGGTAATCCAACTAGCTGTAAGCATCCCAATGCAAAGTCAATGCCTTAACCATGCAGATTACATTCTCCACCCACAAATGAAAGATAAGAATGAATTATTGCATGATTTGAATGTCTAAATCCACTCCTACAAGCAAGAACCCACAATCCGGTTTTTATAGTCCAACCATATTATTGGACCTCATCATGTCAGAAGCTGTTTCAATACTACATGAGTTATTATGTATTTAAAACACATCATTGGAAATTTGAAACATATTGAAAGGAACATCCAGGTTGTATACTTCTTTCCACTCAATGTGCTGGAACATGTATAATAATCACAAAAAAAAACACTATCTTGCTGATCCGACTACAAAAGGACCTCATATCTGAATGGATTTTGTTCTTGAAAACTGTGAGTCAAGCTTGTAAAGTTAAGCAAGTTTGCATCTTGATCCAAAAATAATGCAGTAAATTATCCAGTCTCTTGTAAGAGGAATCAATTTGCTAATTCTGCCTTCTCATCTTGCCACATCATTCAATTCAGCAAAATACTCTGAGAAATCATATTGATAAGTTTATTCCTCAAAATCTCAAAGCTGAGGGAGATAGTTTTCTGGAATCATGGTTCAAAATGTCCACATATTTCCACAACACATTGGGAAATGACTGTGGAGACTACCAATAAAGAATGAAAAGTTATGGCATAAAGTTGTATCAAGTATTCATGGGCTTATGGATAATGATTGGGATGCTGGATTATCAAACAGAGCTATTCTTGCCTACTCTTGGTGTAAGACGGTGCTGGGGCTGTGGTTTATGGACTTCTGAAAGTTGGACAAGAATGGACAAACTCCAATCTAGGGTTTCTGGTCTCAGGATCAGAGTCGGAGAAAAGGTGCCAATGGAAAGATTAGGCAAAAAGACAAAGTTGGACTAGCAGAATGAGACAAAAAGTAATGGGATCTGATTCTGTTGATCCCGAGAGTGGTCTTAGGTGCCCTATATATAGGAAAAGGCTACCAATGCAGTTCCTGCATGTCCAAAGGTAGTTCTAGAATATTCCTTCAATGGAAAGTTCTCTAGTTAGTTATGCCAGCTTAGCACAAGTGGTTATGGACAATAATGTGAGAGGATCTGATACTAACCTGTGCAGTTTTTCTGATCTCTCACTTGATCCTGTCGTGTGTTACCGTCTTGCACCTCGCTACTCTTACTAAAGCCATTGTACTATCATGTGTTAAGTAATGGGATTTGCAAGTTAGGCCTGCTTCTGAATCACAGATGGCTGCACTTCACAAGTCCTAGGGTATTTGTATGCTGGTTTCACATGCCTAAGGCATGGATTCACAGGGTACTCCAATGAGTCAATGACTCAATTGCATTGGGCATGTCCATCCCTTACATGAAAGCCACCCATAGTATCCTACCTATATTTCTCAATAACAACAGGTATGATCTCTCCTCTGGAAATAAAATTAGATTTTGGGAAGATCTTTGGATTGGGGAGCTACCCTTAAAGGACCTGTTTCCCTCTCTTTTCTGCCTCTTCCCTTAAAGGTAAGCCTATTTCCTACTTCCTAGTTTGTTGTGCCTTCCTCCTTTCCTAGTTTTGATTCGAACTCGGGGCTCAGAAGGAACCTTAGCGATTCTGAAATTACTCCTGTTTCTAGTTTCTTGTATATCCTGGAAGGGGTGTTCCTTGATCTAAAAAGGTGGATGGTCGTATTTGGGATTGTTTTTTTTTCTGACAGCATTTTCTAGAAACAAGAAAAAAATATTAACCACTTAGAGTAGACATATTCCCATATTTTTGTCCCCAGTTGGCATCTTGGCTTTATTCTCAACACCGAATAGTTTACATAAGCCATATTTATCAAAAAAAATAATAATTACATGAGCCATTTTCTTCAAGGCACGTATTCCTCTACCAATGGTTAATCACGAAATCACTTGCCGTAAAAGAGGAAAATATCTATAAAATTAAAACCAATGTAACTTCAAATATAACCAATAGTGGATAATAATCCAACAAATTGAACTTTAGTGAGTAAACAAAAGAACTTACCTTGTTGTTCATCTTCACGACCAGCTCTATTTATTCCCCCGAGAACCTTATATGCCTCGGAATGTACAGAGTCCACCCTCAATGAGTATATCTTTACTCCAGCTTCCAAAGTGCAGCTTGCCTTTGAAGGAATAATAGTAAAACAATAATTAGTAGAATAAGAAAAAGGTATTCTTTATTTAATCGATGAATTGCAGCAGCAAATATTTCAAACCTTTTGAAAATTGGTCTCCACATCATCTTCTGCTTCCACTTTAATAATCTCGCTGAGGTGATCTATAAGGCTGAGCTCCCATGTGTTCTTCTGGTTGATTTTCTGAACCACAGAAATAAAAAATATCACTATAATAACAGAAATTTGTCACTTGCATAATAGAAAGAAAATTACGAATTGTAAGAAAAAAAAGAAAGAAAATTACGAACATTTTCACTTGCAAGCTTAATGCAGTTCTGGAACAACTCCAAAATTTGCTCTTTACCAAGGCAAAGATCCGAAGACTGAGGGGGAGGAGCAGCAGAGGCAACAGCAGCGGCAATGGACTTGCGGCGAATAGCGGCTGCCCTGGCCGCTCGAGCCTGGGCACGTTCCAGCTGATCATCGTTGGAACCCAAGAAGAACGGACTAGTCGGAGATTGGAGACGAGATGCCATGGGTGCTCTCTGCCTCAGCGCGGTGGGTGGATTAGGGCTCATTATTGCCTCCGCCATTGTTTCTGGTCCTGACTGATACGGAAATTAGGGCTTCCGGAGCTTTACAAATCTTCTCTGTGTCTGTGGTTTCTCTGGAGGTAAAAATGATTGCGAGAGAAAGAGGGAGGGGGAGGTTTCTCTGTGTTTCTGGTTTAGGCGATCAGATCGTCGGTGTCCATGGACATGGGGTTCTCTTTTTCTGCTCCAACAACGAAAAAATGAATTTGTTTTCCCTCCTCTTGGCTTTTGTTTGAATCCAGGGGAAAAGATCTGGTGCATCGCTTCAGTTTCATAAAACAGTATTATATGTTACTAATCGTCCAAGTATACGAGTAGACCTGTTCATGGGCCGGGCCGGGCCGGGCATTCACTCTGGATTATCAGAATTTTTTAAGGYCCGAGCCCGAACCTGGCCCGACCATCGGACCTACAATTTGGGCCCGAAGCCCGGGCCTGGGCCCGAACCCGAAACTTAACCCATACTGTTAGCAGCTGAATAGAAAGAGATATTATAAAGAAAAAAATAAAAAATATATATATTAAATTATAAATATATATTTTAATAAATATTATATTATTTATATATTTTATGTAATATAAAAATACATATTATATATTTTATAAAATATATAATGCTAAATCGGGCCAGATTGGGCTTTATAATATATATATATATATTGACGCTTTCCTCCAACACCATGCATATGATAGATTGCAAAATATGATGCATTGTTTTAGTTAATTCATACATATGATATAATGATATATGGTGCATGTAGAGTCAACATGGACCAAGTTAGTTGTATGGCAAAGCTTGGAATCTACCCTGTAAGTGTCGGCTCCATGTTTTTAGGACCATAAAGTCCATAACCTACTTTATCAAGATTGGTTATAGCCTTAGAAATTTCAAGGTCAATTTTAGGGTTTAACCATGCATAGAACCCATTATTTACGATACAATAATAATAATATGTGGGCTTTTTTATTTTTTTCCTTTTAAATCATTATTAACCTTGGATAGAAATTTGTCATAAACATTCTAAGTTTCAAACCCACATAGTCATTCTATCTCAAAAGAAAATAAAGCATAATCCATAAACTACCTAAATAATATCACATAATCATTACTAATCCATAATCTAACTTTACACAAATCCCACACTATAGTTAAATGCAATCATAATGCAAATGGAATACAATTAACAATTGAGGTTAGTTTTGCTAAGGTTAATCAACTTCAGTTCCAAGGCTAGGTAATTTCAATTCCACCAAAGCTGCTAACTCTACCAAGGTTAATTAAGGTTGTCCTACCAAGGTCATTTCTACAAAGGCCAATCAAGGTCAATGGAGAGTGCTTTCATCTAAGGGAGATCCATCTCAAACAATATTCTCATAACTCATGAATGTTTTCATACAATGAAATCCTCAAAGGCAAAACAGGGGTATATGGCTCTTAAACCTGACATGATAAAGGCATATGATATGGCGGAATGGGATTTTCTTGACAAAATCATAGAAAAAATGGGCTTTGGTCTGAAATGGAGAATATGGATTATTCAATGTGTGTCCATAGTCACCTAGAGAATCATTATCAATGGCTCTCCAAAGTAGCACAATAGTCTGTAGTAGGGGTCTCCGTCAAGGAGACCCATTTTCTCCTTACTTGTTCTTATTGATCTTTAAAGCTTTCTCTGCAAGTATCTCTACTAGTTTAGAAGGAAAAAAAATTCCAGGAATCAAATTTTGCAAAAATGTGCCCATAGTTACCTCTTATTTGCTGATGACAAGAAGGATTTAAATATCGGCATTGTATCGATATCGGCCTATGGCGGTGCAGGATACACTATGAACAGAAGCGTATCTTATGAGTCGTATGTGTCGTAGCGATACAGATGCATATTGACTTGTAAGGAGACCCACTTTCTCCTTCTTCTTATTGATCTCTGAAGCTTTCTCTGCAAGTATCTCTACTAGTTTAGAAGAAAAGAAAATTTAAGGAATCAAATTTTGCAAAAAAGCACCCATAGTTGTCACCTCTTATTTGTTGATGACAACAAGGATTTAAATATTGGCATCATATCGGTATTGACCTATGGCGGTACAGGATAAGCTACGAACAAAAGCATATCCTGTGAGTCATATGAATCGTAGCGATACAGATGCATATCGTCCTGTATCGCACTGTATCAACCGATACACACCGATATAGGTCGATGCACATTGATACATTGTGTTTCTCCATAAAAAATTGCAAGCATGATGATTCAAACTCGGGTCACTAGAGTGTGCACAAAGCCTTGCACCTTGAATGCGATTATGAACCACTAAACCACGTTTCTTATTGTGAAAATAAATAAAATAAAATAAAAATTATTTTTTCTCTACATGCAATTTAAACAATAAGCACATGTTTATATTTAACAAGTCTAACTAAAATTTCAAAAGAATAATATTCAAAAACAGTATTTTATAAACTAGTACAATAAATTATCTATCAATTCCATGTTTATATAAAAGATGATTTTTAATACCAAGAAAAATATATAAATAAAATATTAAGAATAAAATAATTATGTTAATACTTAAAATTTATAAATTTGCACATGATATGCATATTAAATTTTTTATATATTTTTATAAATTATTAATTAATATTTTAATTTATATTAATAAGTAATAACAGTATATTTATTATTTATAAAAAAAATATTGTTTATAAAATATTTAAGAATATAACATTAAATTGAATCTTTCAAACCCATTAATCTACATTTATTTCAAAAAATGAGTTTTTTTTTTTATTTTAAAAAAATTATATAAATAAAATACTAATAATGGAATAATTATTTTGGTAATTAAAGTTTATGAATTTTTATATGATATGTATATTATAAATTTTAACAAATTTGATATACTTTAAGTTAATATTTTTATAAATTATTAATTAATATTTTAATTTTCATTGAGAACCTAATATTTAGTTGACTTTTTGTTAATGTCAACAAATTTAAAAAATAAAATAAAATAATTAATATAATAATCAAAATATAATAGGTGCATATGTTTAGTGTCTTAGACTCTTGATTGATGCATTGTAAATAAAATTATATGATATCTATGCATCCTGATATATTAATTCTAATATATTTATTCATATATACCACTAAAATATACATTTCCTATGTATTTATATACTATTTGTAATTATTTTGATCTTAAATTTAATGATATTAATGTATTTACAAAATTTGTATGTATTTTCCTAGTGTATCCATGCGTTTTCATATTTTCCGTCCATATCCATGTGTTTCTAAAGCATATTTGTATCCGATTTGTCCGATATGATACCCGATATCGGTACTTTAATCATTGGATGACAGATATGTCTTTGCTAAGGCAAATTTTGAAAAAGCTGAGGAAATTCTAAGAATTTTCAATAATTATGAGAAAGCTACAAGTCATTAAAGTGAAATTCTTATAAAGTTTGTAGCTTCTACTTTACTTGTATCCACAATGTCTTGCTTTTTAGTTCCTAAGGGTGTTTGTAAAGCCATCTCAAAACTTGAAAGGCAATTCTGGTGAGGTGCTTCAAATATTTGAAGGAAGATAAACTGGCTCAAATGGACTATCCTCTATAGAAATAAGGACGGTAGCTTAGGCTTTAGGGACCCGTACATCTTCAACTTAGATTTACTAGCTAATTAGGCTTGGAGGATTCTAACTAATCTCGCAAACTCACTTGCTCAAATTTACAAAGCTCGTTACTTTGGTTAGGAACAATTTCTAAGGGCTAAGATCTCCCAATGCAGTTCTTGGGGATGGAGTGTGTGTGCAGGTAGAGAGGTGTTAAAGGAAGGTTTTGTCTATAAAATAGTTAGGGGAGAGAATGTGGATATTTGGAAGGATCATTGGCTTCCCAGCCTTTCCAAATTTAAAATTCCCCATGATAGCTGATGGATTATTTAGGGCCCGTTTGGCGTGCCTTTTGGAGAAGACTTTCTTGTAGCTCTGACAGTCAAAAGACGCATTGAGCTTTTGACATAAGATTTGGGCAGCTCGAAGACAATTTGGCAGATGTGCGTCTTTCCGTGCATCTGTCCACGTCTTTCCACGCGAGATTAAAACGTGAAAGACACGGGAACCATCTTTTGGCGACTAAATCTTCCACGAGTCAAACGGGAATAGACCAAAAATCGGTCTTCTCAGCTTGTAAACAGCCAAAAGACCATGGGGAAAGACATGCCAAACAGGCCCTTAGTAAGTAAGGTTTTAGAGTTGATTAAACATAGAGATCAGTCCTAGAATTCCAGTCTCATTAGTACCCTTTCCCTCTAGCTATTGCTAATGAAATCCAGAAAATTTATATCCCCTTCTCTTGCAAGGAGGATAAAATGGTGTTGGATTCTCAATAGGAAAAGGATTTTTTTTCCAATAAAATCTGCGTATAGAACCCAGGAGGCCGAGATGGATGGGTGTTCTGCTAAATCTTTGAATTCTACTAATGACCAAAGGAACTGCTGGGAGGTCCTTTGGAGCCTTGAGCTTCGACCTAAGATAAAAATGTTTTTCTGGAGGGCTTTACATAGTAGTCTTCCAGTGTCGGAAAAACTAGTTAGCGAAGGGCTTATTGTTGACAGTATATGCCCTGGCTGTGGTAAGGAGGTAAAGTCTATATCCCATGCTCTTTTGTACTGTGAAGAAACTAGACCAATTTGGTTTTACATCATCCATGAGTATGAGGCCTGATTCAGGGTCCATTCAATCTCTTGGTGATTATTTTGGTGTTTGGACTATAGGTTTGCAAGAGAGAAAGCTGAAGAAAAAAAAAACTATTCATATTTTGTAACTGTTTGCTGGTGCATTTGGTTAAGCAGAAATGAAATCCTTTTTGAAAATAAAATCGGTAATGGTCAAGATGTTCTCTCTCATGTTCATAGGATCTTGATGAATTCAAGAAACTTGGATTTGAAGAGCTCTTTCAATCAAAAATCAACTATTCGGCCCCACCAAGGGAGGGAACCTCATCCAACTAATTTTAATTAGCTTTGGTTTGATGGCAGTTTTTTGAAGAACAACTATGCTGGTTATGGTGTCTTTATCTCAAATGGAAGAAGCAATTTTTTAGCAGCTCAAGCCAAACCTGATTTTCCAAGACCTGCAATTTTCTTAGAAGCTTTATGCGGTTCTATTAGGCCTAAGACTAGCAAACAGTTTGGGACTTTGGTCTTTTA